TACAATGCTTTGCAGAGGCATTCTTTTAGCAGAATTTAGTGCTATATTTCATTTTCTGGTTACCTATTAATTCACCTATCCACCTATAACCCCCAGACAATGTCATGGGGGCACATGTCTAGTAGTGCACGGCAGTTCTTGATTTTCTGCATATATTTCAAAAACATTAACTCCCATCCCCTAGTTTTTGCTTTCAGCTAGCTCCAAGTAACATCCAATAATTATATGCAGAGAGATGAGTAGGTATTAACATCAGTTTCCATGGAACTAAGTCAGAGACTTTTTTCCCCACATGCTTTTGTTGCCCATATTTTTCACTCCTGTGCAAAGCTGCCAATAGGCCTGAAAAGACATGTCCTTTTGTGAAATGTTTTGAAAGGTTTTGTAACATATAAATCTCCAGTTGTCATTCCATTTATTCTGACAATCTCCAGTGCTTTGAAAGATAGGCTACATATAATTTGGGCATCTTTAACTATGCCCTCTCTCAATTTTAATATCCCACTTAAGGTGTTATAACTGTTGCCCCTTTATCAAAACTCAAGGAACCACTAAAAAGAAAGAAAGATATAAACTATGCCATAAAATGCTCCCTCTTGTTCATTTTTGCATTTATTGCCCACTCTGTGAATATTGTGTCTTCATTGACCCTCAGAATAGAAACCAGAAATTAGTGTATCATCAATTCCTGTATCATCATGATTTCATCTGATCTCAACAGCAAAGAAAAAGAAAAAGATAGCACCAAGAATGCATAGCCATTGATTTAACATGTGATGAAATAAAAGAATCTCCCTCCACACTTCTTAAAGGACAAAATTCTCTAAAGGGATGTAGCATTTAAAATGAAGGCTTCATAGTAGGGGTAGAAGACAGATCCAGTTCGGTTTGCATTTAAAGGTGAGCCTACAAAATTTACACTTTCTGAAATGAAACACAAAGCACAATCCTTCAACATACTCAGTTCCATGAACTTTGTAGTTCCTTTTTCCAGCCTAGTAATGTGTACAAAATCCCACTAGGGTAAACTGTTGAGATTTCTATTCCACCTTAAGGAGCAGATGTGTGGAACTGTTGCATGTCACATGTCTGTTTACATTCCGTTGTGTGTATAGCTTTTGCTTTTCCTGGTCTCTCGAGAAGACGAAGAGAGAGAGAGATGACATGTTTCTTTGTCCTGATTTATGATTAATAAATCTGTAGCTATAGTATGCTTTCACAAGCCTCATGCCTATTCTGTGTGCGCAGTTCGATCTGCTGATAGTGTGCCCTGGCTTTGAAGCCCGGGTCGCTGATTTACGTCGGAGCAGAGGCCGATGGGTCTTCGCAGCGGACGGCTAGAAGGAGACGGCCCAGCTGGCCTCCTGGCCCTCTGCATGTTGACATAAACATGTATATATTAATAAAAAGGGCATATAATTAGGGAAATTGTTTTGTAAAAATGTGTATATCAGGCGGGATGCACTATAATGCTGGCGATTTTTCCTGAGGAATAATAATAATTTAAAAATTGCAAACAGATATGGAAGTGAATTTAGGATTGGAAAAAAGAAGCTGAGAGAAACTTAAGTCGACAAAGTAACCCATGCCTACTTCGTAGCATTTCAGAGTGGTGCATGAAATAAAATTCTTTTTCTTACTTTTGCTAAATAATGCTAATCATCCTCACTAGTTGTCAAATGAGGCTTCAGTATTGAGATGCACTGGGTTCACATGCGTATGAGGAAACTGCTCCCAAAACTCTTTGAGGAAGTGATTCATATGGAGCTCAGACAGCAGTGGAAAAAAACATTCCCAAAATGACTGCATTTCATTTCTGTATTTTGCAGCCACAGGAAGGCCCCATCAGGACCATAGTGTATGGGTTAAGCCTTTCCTTCCCTGTGACCATAATGACTAAAATGATTGCCTCTCAAAGTTATTATTCCCTTCCCCCAGAAATGTTTGCTCCTAAATTTGCTGACGATAACTCATGTTTGAGCAGCAGCAGCATCTTTATTGTGGCTTTCAAATGGTGTTAGTAGTTTTGTGCAACAGCCGGATTGTTCTAGAAGAGCCATTGTATACTGCAGCTGAAGGGAACCGGATCTGACTAGAGCCTTCGCTCCTCCACTCCCTGGAGTCGTGTTTGACCTACCCACCTGTCTATCACCTGAGGTCACCATGACACCTATTTGTTTTTGCATAGCACTGTGCACAGAAGTCCGGCTGATCGGCTGATAGTTGATCATATATGATCATATACATGTACAACTACCAGACTTTTAGAAGATATCTGAAGGCAGCCCTGTTTAGGGAAGCTTTTGATGTTTGATGAACTATTGTATTTTAATATTCTGTTAGGAGCTGCCCAGAGTGGCTGGGGAAACCCAGGCAGTTGGGCGGGGTATAAATAAATTATTATTATTATTATTATTATTATTATTATTATTATTATTATTATTATTATTATTCATTTATTAGATGTTAGGTGTAGGGCAGGTGTCTGTGGCATGGTCAAAATGGCCTCTTGGGAGTAATCATAAAGTCTGGCACGGTTAATTAGGCTTGCAGGGTGGACATTCCCCACAGCTGATATTGGTGTCCTCCTCTTCTGAAGAAGCATGTTGAAAACTGCAGCCATGATATGTTGTGCAGCTTAAATTCTGCTAACTTCAGCGAGCAGCTTGTGTGTGGGATTCTAGCCAGCACCGCTAGTTAATCAAAAGTTTGCCCGAGAGGCTGCATTTATCCCTTCGTAATCAAATAGCACAAATCAAAAAGAAGATTAAGCCTTGATTATTGTCATACTGTGCTTTGAAAATAAGTTTCAGTCTACCATTGTCTGCCTTGTTTTTGTGAAATCAAAATTACTGATTGCCAGCACAGCAGTAATGAAGATGGCAAAGAAGTACCGCTTATGTGTTACTCTGCGAAACGATGATTTTCCTAGATTGACATAGTGAAGAACATGCAGAACTGCGCCTGGAACCTCTAGTTTGGGTACCTAATCACCACATGCACTGAAAACGATTCAGCAATGACCTGAACAGAGCTGCCATCTTCTCCAGTTGCTTGAGGGGGCCCAACACGACATCCTGACATCATGCTCGTGATGTCATGTGATGTCACAAGGAGCCAAGGAGCAGAACTGAACACCCACTGAACATTGAGGGGGTCCAGCCCCCTGAAAAAAACATGAGGGGAGGGCATGAGTGAAAGATTCCCAGAGCAATCCTATATAGATTTAGTCAGGTGTCAATCTCACCAAGTGCAATTGGGAAATGTGCACAGGATTGCAGCCTTAGAAAGGAAGGGGATAAATAAAGACAAGACTTGGAGTCTGAATGGTGCAGCAAGACTTTTCCCATAGAAAGGTGCCAGGTACATTCTGCTTTAGGCAGCAAAATTCCTTGAGCGGGCACTATTTTATCTGGATAGGTTCAAATAGCAAGAAACAGTCATCTCGGTATTGCATATCCAGTTGGAGTGGCCACATAACCACCAAACTCTCTCCCTGACTTCGAATCAACCACTCTCACACACATACTATAGGACGTTGTGCTAAGTATTGTGAACATCACTCCTAAAGATGTGAGTAGCTTTCACAAGATGGATTCCTCTATCCTCCTCTCTGCTGCAGCCAATCAGAAAATTTAAGGAGAAAAAGTTTGTGTAGGGATGCAAAACACTTGGATTTGGCAGGAAAGTGCCCTTAGCAGAAATAGCCAAGAATTTAATCTCCTGCTTATTGATACTTCCTGCATAATCCGCACAGCTTTCACTTTTTCGAATGATTTGTTCCCTTAGGTTATACCTGTGCTCAAGGAAAAGTTGTGTTAAAACTTGCTCTCATTCTCTTATCTGGGTAGCTATTTAATCAGACTCTTCATACTCAGCCAGGATTACTCAGTGCTAGCTATTGCAGAAATTTAAATGTGTTATCATATGCATTCACACATTTGCCAGGGATCTTATTTTAATCAGGTTACGTGGCTACTCACTTCACTTTTGCATACCATATAATTCAATAAGAAGTTTCATGTAATTATTTTATGTTTAATTGTTTTATTGAAGGGTGGGATACTTCTGGCTAAACTTTGCTAGAGGAGTTGTGGTGCAGCTTTTGGATTCCTGAAAATCTGTTCTTGACTTCATTCTTTCTCCAAAATCAAAGTATTCCCCATAGCTCAGTCATCAGTTACTCCTACAAAATCTTATTTCTGTTATTAGCATTACAATTCTCCCCAGACAACGTGCTAGCCCCAGTGTCCCTTAACATACAGACAATTGATTAAACACAGTATAATTTAGTCTTCATAACCTTTTCCTTGTGTGAAATAAAACGGCTACACTTTGGGAGGAAGAAGAGAGATTAATTTTTTTAATTAAAAAGTGAAACGCTTTTCTTTGCGATATATTGCTTTCTTAAAGGGAACTTTTTCTTCCTTCAGATACCACACTCTGGCAATAATAGTTGCAACTGTTGTTGTTGGCACCCGTCTGTCTCGAGAGACAATGCAGTGCACCTGCAGGGGTGAAAAACTGCTGTGTTAATAGCACCAAAGTGACCTCCCTGGGGCACAAGTCTGGGCAGTGTGTATGGAGGTCCTGGGCTACCCAGATGACAATACCCCCCCCCTTTCGGCCTTGCTGATGTGGTCCAAAGGAAAGCAGAGCATGTGAACCACCAGCTTTGACTCAGTATCTATGTTTCACCTCAAGGTTTTGTTTTCTGCTGAAATAATCTGCAGAATTCTCTACAGTGTGGTGTAGTGGTTAAGAGCGGTAGTCTTGTAATCTGGGGAACCGGGTTCGCTTCTCCGCTCCTCCACATGCAGCTGTTGGGTGACCTTGGGCTAGTCACACTTCTCTGAAGTCTCTCAGCCCCACTCACCTCACAGAGTGTTTGTTGTGGGGGAGGAAGGGAAAGGAGAATGTTAGCCGCTTTGAGACTCCTTCGGGCAGTGATAAAGCGGGATATCAAATCCAAACTCTTCTTCTTTTTCTTCTTCTTTTAGGTACCAGTGGGACCTGATGTAGAATGGCAGAGCAGAAGGCACCTAATGTCTGTTGAAAAACAAGAAGCTAATCTCTATGCCCCAATAAATATAACCAATGGAACAGGCCCCAATGCCACGTGCATCCTTTTTTATGCCACAGATTTAAACTTTACAGCCGATGGCACTGTCATGAATCTAACCCATCGCACATTTGAATCTCACGAAGTGGATACCAGCAATTCCACTTGTTCGGGGACCAATGCCACGTGAGTAGCCTGACTTTCACTACTAATTGTCTTTCATGGTACATTGACTGAGGAAGCTGATTTTTTTTTTGTCCCAGATAGCATTACCATTTAGCTTAGCCAAGACTTGAAATCAAAGTCCTAGAAAGATCAGATTAAGGTACAGTCATGAAATTGCATAGCTCGCATAGCTTTGGTTATCTCTATTCTTATGCATTTTAAGTGTCCAAAATGCTTTACAAGCCTGCTTATTAATTTACTCTATGAAGTAGGCTATTAACTACTTTGCAGCTGGAGAACTGAGGCTGTCAACTTGCTAAAAATTAGAGATGGACAAGCTTTCCCCAGCAAATACCTTTTTCAGCCCACTGACAGCCAGCCTTGCTCATTAAGATGTAGACGTTTTTGGTACAGCCTAAAGATATAAAACTTGCAGTTAACGGATTTTTAGGGACGTGGGTGGCGCTGTGGGTTAAACCACAGAGCCTAGGACTTGCTGATCAGAAGGTCGCGGTTCGAATCCCCGCAATGGGGTGAGCTCCCGTTGCTCGGTCCCTGCTCCTGCCAACCTAGCAGTTTGAAAGCACGTCAAAGTGCAAGTAGATAAATAGGTACCACTCTGGCGGGAAGGTAAACGGCATTTCTGTGCGCTGCTCTAGTTCGCCAGCAGCAGCTTAGTCATGCTGGCCACATGACCCGGAAGCTGTATGCCGGCTCCCTTGGCCAATAAAGCAAAATGAGCGTCGCAACCCCAGAGTCAGCCACGACTGGACCTAATGGTCAGGGGTCCCTTTACCTTTACCTAATGGATTTTTCCCCCTGTTCGGTTTTCAAGAGAAACAGAATTTTGGGAGGAGGTGATAGTTTTTCAATATTTTACAGATCAAAGGTCACTTTTCCTACATTAGAAACATAGTATATATTATGTATAACTTGATTTGCCCTTAAATGACAATCTTCGTAACATTTAAAGCACGGTTTATTCCGACAATATTTACAAGTTGAATTAATTGTTTTCCATTTTGGTTACAAATGGAACTACAAGCTGTAGGACTGGAAAGAGCCTAGTCTCTAATTGGTTTTGCCATTTCATGAGGAACACTCAAAGAACAATAGAAGCAGGAGAAACCATCAGCATTATAGTAAAAGGAAAAGGAAACAATGTATTTTGGGGGGAGAATAATTCTGAAATACTCAGAAAATTATTATGTCTCCTCCAGTGTCCCACAGTGTAAACCAGGCATGAAGCATTCATTTCCATAAAAAGGGTCTGGAAAAAGAAGGGACAAGCACCTGGTTTGTGTGCAGAAAGTCCTTGGTTTAGTTTCCAAGCAGGGCTGGGAATAACTTCTGCCTGAAATCCTGGAGAGCAACTCCCAGTTAGTGAAGACAATATTGACCTTGATGGACCAATGGCCTGGCTTGCGATATTTCTATGTAGTAAACAGCTGTTGTTCACCTCTATGGGAACAAATAAATAGGGCACGGTTTTGATGGGGAGAAGATTTATCCAACCCCCCTGACCACAGGTGGTCTGACCTAATGGGATGCTGCAATAGGGATGCTCAGGCCATTGTCTGTACCTCTCCCATCATTCTCACACTTGGTATGTGTGGAAAGGCTGTATGCAGATACTCACCTATGTCAGTATCCTATGTATTCCTACGCCATTCTTATGTATCATTAATATTTATTAATTTTCTATACCACCCTTCATCCAAAGATCACAGGGCGCTTTGCAATATAAAAACACAAAAATGCATACCATAATAACAAACAGAAACAATAACTCCCATCCATATGTATCATAACACTGTAGGAATGACACCTTTGTCAATGTTGGCTTCATTTTGTTGATCTGGATTTGGTACCCCAAACGTCGCCATCCTCTAAAATGTGGCACCTCGTATTCTGAGCTTTTCGAAACCGAAACCAGAATTCCACATGCATTCTGATACGCATCTAAACTTTTGTATGAATTGTGATCCTTATTCAGTGGCGTTGCGTCCTTTATTGGTGCCCGGGGCACGTGAGTGCACCAGGTGGGTCCAGGGGCTGGATGTGGAGGGTGAACGAAATCCGCTGAACCATCCAAACCCTAGCCGCTGCCACTGTCAGGTGGGCGTGGGGCACGGAGGGTTCTTGGGGCCACACTGCGCTGCCGCCTGCCCACCAGCGCAGAGGGAACCGACTGACTGATGTGGGCCAGGGGTGCAGCGGCAAGACTGGGCTCTGGGGCCCAGAGACCCCCAGTGGCAGGCAGGGCAGGGATTGTGAAATTCAATGTCCGGTACGCTTCCACTGCGACTCAGTGTTGTCCCAGCGTTTAGCAGAGACTGCGCACAGTGAGATATTTCAAGTATGCAGAAAAGACTCTGTACGCAGCTTCTTTCCTAATCTAAGAAGCGTTTATTTACAGCAGCAATTAATCAGTAATTCGGGAGAACACAGCAACATGCTGGCTCTCTCTGTCGAAAGTAATCTCACATAACAAAGCAGACAAAATCCCCGTATGTGGGCACACCCCCCAGCGTCAGGACGCACACTCTGAGCTATTAACCCTATAAGCTCTGGTTCTCCTCACAGAGAACCCTGTGTGGGGGTACCTGACTCACACCCTCTCAAAGCCATGCACCCGAGGCTACACCCCCCTGGCCCTCCCCATGCTATGCCCCTGTCCTTATTCATATCAGTGCAAGAGCCAATTGCGCAAAGAAATCTGTACACGGACTACCCATTCCTCTTGGTTCAGCCAAGAAATACCATGCCTTAAATCTTGGGCCCTTGGGAGAAAAGCAATGACAAACCTAGACAGCACCTTAAAAAGCAGAGACATCACCTTGCCAACAAAGGTCCGTATAGTTAAAGCTATGGTTTTCCCAGTAGTGATGTACGGAAGTGAAAGCTGGACCATAAAGAAGGCTGATCGCTGAAGAATTGATTCTTTTGAATTATGGTGCTGGAGGAGACTCTTGAGAGTCCCATGGACTGCAAGAAGATCAAACCTATCCATTCTGAAGGAAATCAGCCCTGAGTGCTCACTGGAAGGACAGATCCTGAAGCTGAGGCTCCAATACTTTGGCCACCTCGTGAGAAGATAAGACTCCCTGGAAAAGACCCTGATGTTGGGAAAGATGGAGGGCACAAGGAGAAGGGGACGACAGAGCTCGGATGGTTGGATAGTGTTCTCGAAGCTACCAGCATGAGTTTGACTAAACTGCGGGAGGCAGTGGAAGACAGAAGTGCCTGGCGTGCTCTGGTCCATGGGGTCACAAAGAGTCAGACACGACTAAACGATTAAACAACAACAACAACAGCAACAACAAACAAATCTTGGGCCACCACAGCTTGTCACTCCTCAAACCAAACACAGCCCAGCAAGCCATTCCTTGCGTTCCATGCGCAGATAGTGGAGGGTGTGGCCATCAGGCATGTCAGTGGTAGGGTGTGCAGCTAGATCACAGATCCCTGTGAACCCCCGTGTGTGTGTGTGTGTGTGTGTGTGTGTATTCATCTGAATTTTTCTCTTGCGTCAGGGAGGCTTTGCATTACATTGGCCCAGGCCTGTCATTTCCCATTGAAACAAGCAGCATTTCCCTAGCGAATAAAGAGGAGCGTGTACTTCAAACACACAGGGTACTTTCCCTTTGCAGCACATACCGTATTTTTCGCTCCATAAGGTGCACCTGATCATAAGGCGCACCTAGTTTCTAGAGGGGAATTCAAGAAAAAAAATATTCTTTAAAGGGAGCGCTGAGCAGAGCCTGTATGCATCCCAGGCTCTGCTCAGCGCTCCCTTTCACAAGCCGCATGGAGTGTGTGTGTGGCTCTTGGGGGCTTTTCCTCGAGGAGGGAGAAGGGCAGCCTGTCAGAAGCCCCCACCTCCCACAAAAGTCCACAGGAGCCACACACCCTTTAAAGAGAGCGCCGCTCTTGGGGGCTTTTCCCTGAGGAGGGAGAAGGGACTGACTGGCTGTGTCAGTCCCTTCTCCCACCTCGTAGAAAAGCCCGCAGGAGCCGCACGCTCTTTAAAGGGTGCGTGGCTCCTGTGGGCTTTTCTACGAAGTGGGGGAAGGGACTGATGCGGCCAGTCAGTCCCTTCTCCCTCCTGGGGAAAAGCCCGCAAGAGCCGCACGAAGCTTGTGTGCGGCTCTTGGGGCTTTCCCCGCCTGCCTCCCCCCCTGCATTCGCTCCATAAGACGCACACACATTTCCCCTTGCTTTTTAGGAGGGGAAAAGTGTGTCTTACGGAGCGAAAAATACGGTATCTCCTCCCAGAGAACTGCTATTTCAGAGTGAAAAACACTGTAGGACCTTCTCGTGCCCCATTTCCAAACTCTTTCTCATCAAGTCAGATTTGTGTCCAGATCCATTATTTTCATGGAAAAGAAGAAGAAAGCTAATAAGCAGTTCAGCTTGTATGTATGCATGAGGTGCAATAAAGAGAATTGTGCCAACATATAGCTGCTTCTTTTGTCTTCCTTTCATTGTTCCTTTCCAAGAGAATAATTATGCATGACTTCTATTCATCCACATGTCTTCTCTTACGGCCGCGCTCTCTCCTTGCCTGTGCCCTCATTTTATTCAAATGTCTTGGTCCCCACAACCACCACCACGATCAAAACTCCCATTAACATTACACGAGGCAATAATTTCATTGTAAGGTGTCATTGCAGGGAATCCTTGCCACCACTTAAATTTAAGTGAGTTGTAAATAACTCCATAGATCAAGGTCTTTCAGTATATTCCCCTTTTGTTTGAAAGGGAGATAAGGAAACAGCTTTCTGCTCTGCAATATTTTCTGTTCCGCCATCTCTTTGTCTTTACCTACCAATTTAGATGTGATCCTATTTTTAAAAAATGATAATGAGAAAGGTTCATATGAAAATTATATGATGTAACATTTTCTTGCATCTCTCCCTCCTCCCCGACCCCCTTGTCAGGTTGTCGTTAAGATACAGCAACCCAGTGAAGGGCATTGAGAGTCTGGAAATCAGGTATGTTTATGAATTAATTTACTTACACAGTTTTTTAAATGAATGTCAAGGTGCTTTCCACTTACAGAATGGGACGTCCTCTTATCTCCCCACAAGTCTACAAAATCCCAGGCAAAGAGAAACTAATGGCGTTAGTCTACCCACTATTGCTTGTATTCAAGTTTTATTCATGATTAAAACTTGTGATGATTAGTCCAAATATCATTGTACCAGTTGTGGAAACATGGAACGGGGCTGTGAGGAAGACCTGCTGGGTGAGTATATCTGCAACGGAGCCAGGTGATGTAGCGTACAAACATATGCCCTGTATACCTGAAGGAGCATCTCCACCCCCATCATTCAGCCTGGACACTGAGGTCCAGCACTAAGGATCCTCTAGCAGTTCACTCACTGTGAGAAGTGAAGTTACAAGGAACCAGGCAGAGGGCCTTCTTGTCAGTGGCACGCTCCCATTGGATGTCAAGGAGATAAATAACTGTATACAATGGTACCTCAGGTTACTGACGCTTCAGATTACAGACGCTTCAGATTACAGACTCCGCTAACCCAGAAATAGTACCTCGGGTTAAGAACTTTACCTCAGGATGAGAAAAGAAATTGCGTGGCGGCAGTGAGAGGCCCCATTAGCTAAAGTGGTACCTCAGGTTAAGAACAGTTTCAGGTTAAAAATGAACCTCCGGAATGAATTAAGTTCTTAACCCAAGGTATCACTGTACAACTTTTAGAAGAGATCTGAAGGCAGCCCCAGATTGAAAATTCTTTAATGTCTGATGTTTTCTTATGTTTTTATATGTGTTAGAAGCTGCTCAGAGTGGCTAGAAAAACCTAACCAGATGGACGGGGTATAATAAATAAAATTATTATTATTATTATTATTATTATTATTATTATTATTATTATTATTATTACCCAAAGCCAGCATAATCACTCTGAATAAGGATGTAGTTCACTTGACGTTAGTGCCGCTACGTGTCCTGGGTCTTCAACCTTCCTCAGAAGGTGCCTTAGCAAATGGATTATACGGTACTTCAGGGAAAAGACAGTTTGGGATTGAGGTCAAGCTAGAATGTCTGGCTGGAAATTTGTAACAAGTAATAAAGACCATCTCGGGTATGAGTAAATAGAATAAAACGGAGATGATTGCAAATTAAAAAGCTTAAATCTTTCTTCACTGCGGTTCAGAGTGCTATTAGCCAGGCAGCGAATGGTTCACCAAAGTAAGCAATGCCGTATCACAGCCTCTTCCACTAGAATAGCCTCAGGCACTGGGCCAAATGAAAGACTTGTAATCAACACAATACGATCCTGGGGAAAATAAGTAAAAAAAATAACCCTCTGCTGACAGACAGGAGAGCTTGTCCATTGTAGAACTCACATTGCAAAAAGTATCATGAGCTGTAAACAGGCCCCGCTAAACTGGAAAACATGATTATTGTGTTATTTATTACAAATCCGCTCTAGCTACCTAGGCTTCCAGTCTGCTGGCTGGGGTGAGGGTGGGGAAGCAATACCTGCCCCTAGGTGCTCAATCAAGTTATTCCCTTCACATTTAACATACAGTATATGCTCCTCTGTTTTCTGTGAAGATAAACTTGTTAAGATCATCCCATTTCTTGATTTGGTATAGGTAAACGTAAAGGGACCCGTGACCATTAGGTCCAGTCGTGACTGACTCTGGGGTTGCGGCGCTCATCTCGCTTTATTGGCCAAGGGAGCTCCCGGGTCATGTGGCCAGCATGACTAAACCGCTTCTGGCGAACCAGAGCAGTGCATGGGAACACCGTTTACCTCCCCGCCGAAGCAGTACCTATTTATCTACTTGCACTTTCACGTGCTTTCAAACTGCTAGGTTGGCAGGAGATGGGACAGAGCAACAGGAGCTCACCCCGTCACGGGGATTTGAACTGCCGACCTTCTGATTGGCAAGTCCTAGGGTCTGTGGTTTAACCCACAGTGCCACCCTCATCCCATGGATTTGGTATAGACCCTGATAATTTCAAAACAGTTGGTGGATTGTGCTTTATTGCATACAATCACATCAAGCCTGTTAAAAAATCCCCCCCCCCAAAAAAAAATAGAGAAGGGGAGAAATGCAACAACAGCTGAATCATGCAACCAGCAGCAAAGGAAGTTGCCTTATAGTAAATCAGACTGTTTGTTCATTTATCCTACTATTGCCTGTTCTGACTGGTAGTGCCTATCCAGGATCTGAAGGCAGAGGGCTTTCCCAGCATCTCTTACCTGAACCTTTTACTAGAGGTGCCTGGAACTGAACCTGAGGCCTTTGCATCATCATCATCACTACCACCACCACCCAGCCAGATGGGCAGGGTACAAATAATAAAGTTGTTGTTGTTGTTGTTGTTGTTGTTGTTGTTGGGAAGCTGCAGGATAGGAGATGGGAAATGGGAATCACATGGCAAGGCCCAAATTGTGCTTCAGTTCTTGCAGGCTTATAAAGGGAGGGCATAAGTATTTTCCTCTCATGTTTGGTTCAGTGTTTAGAGGCACACTCCCGCCTCATGCACATGCTTTCTTGTGCTCGCCGCAATGGCTTTTCAATGAATTTATCCGTATTCACACAGGGCCCCTTTCCTTAAGGAACTGAAGCCTCTTCTCTTCTTCTCAAAGAGAATCAGCTTGTTCCCTTCTCTCCATTGCCCGTCAGCAGAAGGCTCAAACCCAGAAATTCTGTAGCTTCTCTGCGAGTATATTACAGTATGAACCACTGAACTCCACCCTTGTATCCTTCATTTGCTGCGGCACGCGAGACAACCTTGGGGGTCTCATTTTCGCTGCTAAGCCGAATGGCACGTTTGAAGAGACATCTCTTAAACCCAAATGCGCCTGCTTAATCCTATCTCACGGCCACCCGGTAATTCCTAAAGGAAAAGATGCCACGGCAGAATGAATCAATGCATTCTATGTTTCTCCTTTCTCTAGATTTTTGATGACCAACAAGATGTACATAGGCTCTGCTCGAGAGTGGTTCACTTTAGATTTTGTTCACATTCAACAAGACAACAAGGAAACGGCTATATTTACTGCACCTTCCATCTCTGGTCCTGCGGAGTATTCATTCCATTGCCAGCTGGTGGGAACAAGCGACCATTATGGGGCAACGTTGACTCCCAGCAATGCTGCAGCGAAAGAGTGGCAGGTTGTCATCTCTGAGTTCCAGGTGAGTACACAGTGCAGTTTCAGAGGCAATTCTAACAGCTATTAGTTTGCTGTCGGAGTTTCTGAAAGGTCTGTCTCACCACTTACTTTCCCCTTCAACCCTAAGAGAAAATTTTAACCAACACCCTTTCTTGGATCCCCAGTGAGCTCTTCAGTAATGTGAAGATGAAGGATTGACAGGGTTGGGGCAGCCTATAAATGGGGAGAACAAGGAAAAAAGAAGATTCTCCAGAAAGCTATCCATAGAAAGCAACAGACCAACACCAATCATTATCCATTTTTTATCCAGTCAAACAACTAAACAAATTATACTGTATTTTTTTCATGTATAAGACGTCCCCATGTATAAGACAACCCCTATTTTTGAACCCTAAATTAAGAAATGAATATTTTAAACACCCAATATCACCCAAACTTGTTGAGTCCCCCCCCCCAAATTTGCAGAACGAGCAGCTGAAGCTCTGGAACGTATTTTTCCATGTATAGGACTAAAAATAAAAATAAGCAAAAAAGATTGTCTTATACAATGAAAAAGATGGTATTTTGCCACTTCAGTGAATGGGGTCAATTTTGCAAAGGAATGATGTGTGAATCATGGCTTAGTAATAGAGTATATCCAATATACATGAAAAGCCATAATCTTTGTCAACTTAAAAGTACTTGGGGTGAGCTCCCCGCTTGAGATTCTAGAAAGGTGATGGCACAAGCCGGAATTCTTTTATAAAGACCTTGAAAAATCTTCAGTGAGTTACAGACAAAAAGAGAATATTGTTTTATAGGCTTTTGTTGCTTGTCAGCAACAGGATGTGAGGTGGCACATCTTTATTTTATGAGTGGAAGACAACTGCCCCCTACCACTGCTGTGGCAAAATATAAGCAAGGATATTGCCAAGAAATTACAATAGGTATTTTTAAAAACTAGAAAGGCACTTTGAGACAGTCAAACTTCCAGACCGAAACTTCAGAAGAGACATCTCAGACTGGCGTGTTGCGGGTTTATTTTATTCTTTAAAAAAGATCAATAATGCTGTACCCTGCAAACATTGTCTTCCTACCTTTAGCCTCCTCAGTCTGTTTCAGCTAAAGTGCTTTAGCAACATCAAAGCCTTGTTACATGCTTCAAGCACTTTGGCACCGAGAACGGTATCGAGTCTGTATTATTTCATAGTCACTCAATGCTCTGTGGGAGCCATAACAACATTATGCAACCTCACCATTTTGTCAGCCATCCATCCAGCCAGATAATGTGTGTCTTCCCTTTGCAACTTTTGCCTGAAGCCTGAAAAGAACAGACCCTCCATTTTCCATGAACAGTCCTGGATTTACAGAAGCTGCACCAGATTTTTATTAGATCCCAAAATGTCTCGCTTTTCCTTAAAGGTAAAGGGACCCCTGACCATTAGGTCCAGTCGTGACCGACTCTGGGGTTGCGGCGCTCATCTCACTTTATTGGCCAAGGGAGCCGGCGTACAGCTTTCGGGTCATGTGGCCAGCATGACTGAGCCGCTTCTGGCGAACCAGAGCAGCGCACGGAAACGCTGTTTACCTTCCCACCAGAGCGGTACCTATTTATCTACTTGCACTTTGACATGCTTTCGAACTGCTAGGTTGGCAGGAGCAGGGACCGAGCAACGGGAGCTCACCCCATCACGGGGATTCGAATCGCCGACCTTCTGATCAGGAGGTCCTAGGCTCTGTGGTTTAACTCACAGCGCCACCCATGTCCCTCCACTTTTCCTTAGGACGTCCCTATTTTCATCTGAGAAATGTTGGAGGGTATGGAGTTATGCGACTCCAGAGCCAAGGAGGTACAACCTTTAGAAGACATCTGAAGGCAGCCCTGTATAGGGAAGCTTTAAAAAAATGTTTAATGCTTTGTTATGTTTTTAGAATAAAGGGAGTGGGTGGGGCTGTGGTCTAAACCACAGAGCCTCTTGAGCTTGCCGATTGGAAGGTCAGCGGTTCGGATCCATATGACGGAGTGAGCTCATATTGCTCTGTCTCAGCTTCTGCCAACCTAGCAGTTCGAAAGCACACCAGTGCGAGTAGAGAATAGGTACCCGCCGTGGCAGGAAGGTAAACGGCATTTCCATGCGCTCTGGTTTCCGTCACAGTGTCCCGTTGCTCCAGAAGCGGTTTAGTCATGACCCGGAAAGCTGTCTGTGGACAAACAACAGCTCCCTCAGCCTGAAAGCCAGATGAGTGCCACAACCCCATGGTCGCCTTCGACTGGACTTAACTGTCCAGGGGTCCTTTACCCTTTACCTTATTTATTTAATTAATTACTATTACTATTGAATAGAACATCCCTATTTTCACTGGAGAAATGTGGATGGTATGAGAGAAAGCAGGCAACGAAATGAAATGATGGTGCAAATGTAACCACGGCCTAAATATACAGGCTCCCCCCCCCCAACACACAAAATGAAAACAGAGTTGCTAAGCTGTGAGTAAACACTCAGCTTGCTTATTTCCTACCCCTGTTTGAGAGGGGCCTTAGCTCAGTGGGAGACCCCCAACTTTGTGTCAGATTCCAAGTTCAGCCTCAGGCATTGTCCTAAGGAGTCTTCCTCAGATAGATGAGACCTTTAGAAAATCAACGGAGCTGGGTTCAAAGGGCAGCTTGAACTATCACTCTGTAGGGCTTTTTTGTTTTGTTTTTGGTGGAAGAAAAGTTTTTTAGCTACGTGAAGGTGGCCTAGCAATGTCTATGTGCAGAAGTTAATGGATGTTGCTTTGCCGTTCTCCCCAGGGCTGTATCCTTAGAATACCCCTTGATTTTCCATCGTTTTAACTTACATTTTCCCTATGCTTCAACAAACAAGATGGGCGTGTGGTTAATGAACACATTGCGAGCGGACATGGGACATAAAGTACAGATTCCTGGCAGCTCAATCCTCTCCCCCCCCTCCTTCTCTTTTGCAGATTCAAGCATTTAGCGTTGAAGGCCACAAATTTTCCTATGCCAGTGACTGCACAACCTTCTTCACCCCTGGAATTTGGATGGGTTTGGTCTCCTCGCTAGTCTTATTACTGATCCTGACCTTTGGGATCCACATGATTGTGAACCTCACAACCAACAATAGGTTTGATGACCCCAAAGATCAACCTCTGTCAGTCCCGCAAGGAGAATAGCAGGTGTGACATTTGTCACGTGGTTGGGCCCTGCTGCGCAAGCCATCTTCATCATTATCATTATCATCATCATCATCATCATCATAGCCAGCTGCAGGGCATCCAAACTAGATCAGGTCCATGGTGTGATGGGGGTGCTACTCTAATCCTTCTCTCCATTGTATTGATGGACATCCTTTCCATCTCCTTCCCATGGGAGAAAAGTTCCAGTAGCATCAAACTGGAGATTTTCTCCCATTGTGAATAGCAGGTGAGAGCCTCCAAATCTGATCAGACCACAGCATGGGGCAGGGGGAAAGGATTAAAGGCCCACCCTTCTTCGAATCATAGAACTGTAGAGTTGGAAGGGACCCACAGGGTCATCTAGTCCAACCCCCTGCGATGACGGAATCCTGCTCACACCCATTCCTGGGTGGGCTCAAACCACCAAACTTCTTGTTAACTGATGCACTGACCCTCTGTGACTCAGGAGAACTCTGTCATGGCTGCAACCCAGCTAAGCCCTCCTACACCAGCTAATTCACACCGGGGCTAACCATGTGCAACATCTCAGTATCATACCACGTTATACAGTCATGGCTTTCGCTAAATAATACTGAGAGGTGTGCAGTCATACCTTGGTTCTCAAACAGAATCCATTTCGGAAGTCCGTTCGACTTCTGAAAACATTCAAAAACCAAGGCGTGGCTTCCGATTCGCTGCAGGAGCTTCCTGCACTCAGTCAGAAGCCATGTCGGACATTTGGCTTCTGAAAAACGTTCACAAACTGGAACATATCTGGGTTTGCGGCGTTTGGGGGCCAAAACTATTGAGTACCAAGGCGTTTGTGAACCAAGGTACGACTGTAGTTTGTAAAGGGTCTGAGAGTTGTTATTTGCCTCAGAGAGCTACAATTCTCAGAGTGGTTTAACAGTCAATCCCTCTTCCCAGGGCATTCTGGGAATTGTATCCCAGAATCAATTCTCAGCACCCATAACAGTTCCTAGGACTCTGTGGGGCAAGCCATGGCTGTTTAATGTGGTCTAATCTGTTTAACAGAGACACAGGTGGTGCTGTGGTTTAAACCACCAAGCCTCTTGGGCTTGCCGATTGGAAGGTCGGCGGTTTGAATGTGTGTGACGGGGTGAGCTCCCATTGCCTTGTCCCAGATTCTGCCAACCTAGCAGTTTGAAAGCTTGCCAGTGCAAGTAGATAAATAGGTACCACTGCAGCTGGAAGGTAAACAGCATTTCAGTGCACTCCGGCTTCCCTCACTGTGTCTCGTTGTGCCAGAAGCAGTTTAGTCATGCTGGCCACATGACCTGAAAAAGCTGTTTGCAGACAAATGCCAGTTCCCTCGGCCTGAGAGCGAGATGAGCGCCACAACCCCATAGTTGCCTTTGACTGGTCTTAACCGTCCAGGGTGCCTTTACCTTAATGTGATATGAGACTGCTTTAAATGCATAGTGCATGTACTTAGGAGAACTGTGAACTTCAGCTGTATTAATGCAGCAGGAAGCATCGACGAAATCAATAAAAGGTGTAAGCTTTTGTGGCAATGAAATCTTTTCCTGAAAACAGGAGGCTTTGGCAGCAGTGTTTATTCTGTCAGCTGTTCATTACTTCTTTTTTAATCACTGCCTAAATGAAAGCCCTCAGGTAAAGCAGAAAACAGCCACAGATGTTGCCAGACTTTAAGAAGACTGGTAGGTGGTGCCAGGAGCTTCACAAATGATTAAAAAACAAAATACTATTTTGGATACAGTTTGTTAAATAAAGCTTCATTAAGAAATTCCATATCCTTGAGGCATTTTTAAAGGTGGGATAAAAATGTTTCAATAAATAGTGAAGACTTTTTTTAATTAAAAAAATCAGGCATTACCTACATCAGATAAAGTACAGGGAGATGATTCTCAGATTAAACAAAGGAACGGACAATATTGCCTAGTTTGGCTCTAAGAGAATATAATTAGTGCATGCTATGCATCTACTGGGACATGGGTGGCGCTGTGGGTTAAACCACAGAGCCTAGGATTTGCCGATCAGAAGGTCGGCGGTTTGAATCCCCGTGACGGGGTGAGCTCCCGTTGCTCGGTCCCAGCTCCTCCCAACCTAGCAGTTCGAAAGCACGTCAAAGTGCAAGCAGATAAATAGGTACTGCTCCCGCGGGAAGGTAAACGGCGTTTCCGTGTGCTGCTCTGGTTTGCCAGAAGCAGCTTAGTCATGCTGGCCACATGACCCGGAAGCTGTACGCTGGCTCCCTCGGCCAATAAAGCGAGATGAGCGCCGCAACCCCAGAGTCGGCCACGACTGGACCTAATGGTCAGGGGCCCCTTTACCTTTACTTACTTTATGCATCTACTAAACGGCTTATGCATGAGAAAGTTGGTCATACATTACACCCACCCACTTGATTATTATAAAGAATAAATTACACATTGCACTAAATACGTCACGTGCGACTGTGTTTTTAATTTAATTTAATTAATTAATTACAGATGTGGTTGTCAGAGGGAGCAGTATGTGGGGAGGGGAGTTTAAAACCTCTATCTAGTTGTGACCCTGTCAAAAATTGGGTCCCTTCTGTGATGATGAGGCTTAGAAAAGAAGTTCCCATTGGCCTGCAGGGGGAGGTTTTATTGCCGGGGAGGAAACGATTGAAACTGTTCTTCTTGCATACTGTGGGTCTGAGGAATGTCCCCCTGCGCCAGTAATTAAAAAAAGCAAATCCTAGTTGCTCACTGCATAATAAAAGTAACTTTTGAATGGAGATTTCCACGGCTGGGCTTTGTCCTTAACGATTTTCCTTCACATATTTGGTCTATGCTGAACCTGTGCTTAATGTATATTGAAAATTCTGGTGTAAAAATAAAATCATAAGCATCATAGCTGATTGTGTTTTCATGGCTTTGCACACCTTATTGTGAGTTGCTGCGAACACTGTCGGTAGAAAGAGAGGATAGAAGAGTTTCAAATGAATGAATCGTGCAGGTGGAAAAACCACATCTCACCAGTTACATGGAGAACCAGGGTTTCTTAAGTAAATGTAGAAACAAGCCCTGTTCGGTTGTTCAGATTTTTGTTAAATAAATGTGAATGGGGTGGAGGGACATTGCAGTGGAAGATAATGTCCCAGCTATTCAGTCATTCCATCCCCATGCATACATTTGGCTAAGCAAGACCCTTAAGGGAAAAAAAAGAAATTCATCATCATCATCATCATCTCTGTTCAGTAATTCAGTAGCTATTTGGCCTTTTGCTATACATATCTATAGCACACCACTCTCCTATGTGCATTATCTCAATATTCTTCTGAATGACTGAACAGAGATGATGATGAAGAATTTCTTTTCTTTTCTTAATTTTTATTTATACTTTTCAGGTTTATACATTTCATTAATTTTACAATCATTTTAACATTTCAAAACTTGACTTCCTTCCCCTTCTTTCTGCGGCTCCTTAAAGTTATTTTTAAAATATCTTTTGCATATCCAAATTCATTTAATTTGATCATTTATTCATCTACTTTAAATATATACTCTTGTGAAACTGCAGGTTATTACAATAATCCTGCCCATGTTTTTATCTGTTTGCAATTTATCTGTGAATATTCAATAAACCATTTCCATTCTTTTATTTTAAAAAAAGTTTGTTATCTTGATTTCTTATTCTTCTGGAGAGTTTCACCATTTCTGCATATTCCGTAAGTTTTTGTATCCATTCTTCTTTTGCTGGGACTTCTGCTTCTTTCCATTTGGTGATGATGAATTTCAGCAGCCTAAACAAGTTCTCTGGCCAGTTTACACCAATGATAGAAATATAAAGGGCTGAATCCAGTGAAATTGCCCAGTTTGCATGACATAACTTTCCCTCCCTCTCCTCCCCATGTGCGTTCCTCAGATCTTTTCTGAAGGTTTCCCCAAGCATCTAGAGCAGATGAGGGAGAGGAGAAGGAGAATATCTGCCGCAGATGTTCTTGTGCGAACTGATGACTACACAAACGTATGACTTTGTCGGGTACAACCCAAAGTGCAATTCCCACTAAGAGTTAATCTATGTCACAGTTGTAAACCTCTTTAATGGTTGCTCCCTCTTCCCAGGTGATCCTGAGAATTGTAGTTCTGAGAGAGAGGTGTGTGAAAGATCTGGAACAAGAGAAGACAAGCTGACTCACCAAAATACAACTGCCAGGATTCTTTTGGGGGAAGCAATAATGGCAGGTTGAATGGAATTAAACCAATTTATGTTTCTAAGCTCCCCAGGCTAGGTAAAATCAGTTAGAGTGAGAAAAAACTACAACTAATATCAGCATAGAACAATTAAAGGTAGCATAAAACCCAAAGGGAACTAAACTGTATATACTCAAAACTATACTCAAATAAGCAGGGTCAGCTTAAAGGAAAGGAGTAGTGATTTCTGGCTGAAGTGCAAAGTATCGATAAAATAATAATAATAATAATAATAATAATAATAATAATAATAATAATAATAATACAGTCGTACCTTGGGAGTCAAATGGAATCCGTTCCGGAAGTCCATTCGACTCCCACAATATTTGGAAACCAAAGTGCGGCTTCTGATTGGCTGCAGGAAGCTCCTGCAGCCAATCGGAAGCCACGGAAACCACACCGGATGTCCGGCTTCCAAAATTGTTCAAAAACTGGACAACACTCTCGGTTTATGATCGTTTGGGAGCCAAAAAGTTCCAAGGCGTTTGGCAACTAAGGATATAATAATAATAATAATAATAATAATAATAATAATAATAATAATGGCATTTCTTATACCCCACCCATCTGACTGGGCTGCCCCAGCTACTCTGGGCAGCTTCCCTCAAACATATCGAGGGGAAGAAGAAGAAGAAGAAGAAGAAGAAGAAGAAGAAGAAGAAGAAGAAGAAGAAGAAGAAGACAGAGAGCATGAAATGCTGCCCAAATCAGGGCTGCCTTCAGATGTCTACGAAAATGAAAGACAGCTCTCCCCTTCAGGTTTCTCTTTCATCTGACCTGACAGGGAGAGAAAGAGGCAGGCGACATGTCTGAGTGGCTTGAGCGGGTTGTGTGCTCTTTAACCTGACCATTAAAATTCCACATCCCACACAACCTGTCATTAAAGTTTCAGTGGAAACTCGCCAGCCCATGCTTATATTTATTATGCATCGGCAGAGCTGTGAGCGGCTTTGCCCTCTCACAGAGTCCTCTGTGTTTGTGAGAGGCCTGCAGAGTTTAGGCTTGGTGCAAGTGGCTGCAAAGTATATTGTGTCGTGTCATGGGATCTCCTAAGAGTGCGCCTTAACCATTGCAGATTTGGAAGAGCCTGGTTGGTCACTTCCACTTGTTCCATGTCTAGAAAGTGTAGGTCCAAGCAGTTTTTTGCTTGCCTTGCTCCTTTCCCAGGGAAAACCCACTCTTTGGTGCTAAATCGGGGCAAATGTCAATCTGGAGAAAACCCACGTTGCCATTTGTTCTGACTGAATGCCGAAGAGCAGATTTCCCTGGGGTAAAGCAGCGGGAGAAGTAGTAGTAGTAGTAGTAGTAGTAATAATAATAATAATAATAATAATAATAATAATATATTTATACCCTGCCCATCTGGCTGGGTTTCCCCAGGCACTCTAGGCGGCTGCCAACAGAATATTAAAAACACAATAAAACATCAAACATTAAAAACTTCCTG